GAACCTTAGACCTGTTACTTAAAGGATGCCAACTCAACCATTATATTAGGAGCATTATTTTATCATATTGTATTTATGTTTAGCCAAGCATATCAATAGTTGATATATTTTATTAATCATTCTTTTTAACAACTTTGTTAGCTATAAGAGATATTCTAGTTTATAAATAATTATTATATTATTTATATATACAATTTAATTTAATATTATTTTTTTGTATCTTAGATTTTTAACTATTTAACTAACTATTTCTTTTGCTTTCTTACAAATTAGCACTTCTTTTATTTTGCAATTTAGCTAAATTTCTAATGATCTTACAATTTTGTTTTTAAGTTCTTCTATTATTTTATTCTGGTCAAAAATAATATTTTTTTCTTTTTTAGTTCTTATATTTATTATTATAAGCTTTGATTTAGATCTGTTTATTTTAATATTATTTGCTTTAAAAAACTTTTTTGCAATACTCAGAATTTTTAGTATCTGTTTTTTGCTATTTGCAATTTATGTTATATTATCTGCATATGCAATTGCTGCTTGCTTATATCTTGTAATGTTGTTACTGCATACTCTTTTTGTTATTTTTTGATCTATTATATAGTTTAATATTTTATTTTTTTATATTCTTTCTAGTAATAAGTTATAGAAAAGACATCAAATTAGTAATAAGATTACTTTTTTTTGGTCTATTCTGTCTTTTGTTGTTATTTCTTTTGTTAAGCTATAGGTTATAGTAACTTTAAGTTGTCATTTATAAAAAAGGTTGCTTATATATTTTCTTGTTTTTTGTAATATTTTAACTCTTTAAAGTCTATTTTAGACTTTTAAATAAAACTAAGTCAAATGCCTTCTTTATATTTTGTAATAGTATCCAAACTCCTTTGTTTTTTTCTTGTGACTTCTTTATTATTATATTTAATATATGTATAGATTACTCTATTGAGTTGTTTAGCAAACTTGTAAAGTTTGAGCTTTTAAGTATATTTCTTTTTGTAAATACTTTAGTCAGTCTTTTTGTTATTACTTTTGTAATAACTTTTCTAAAAAACTTAATTAGTACTATTGAACTAATGTTGTTTAGACAATATCTTTAGTTTATATCTTTTGGGATTAAATATATTTGTGCTATTTTCTATTTTTTTAATATATCTTTTTTCTTCAAAATCAAATTTATAAAGGCTTTAAAAATTTTTTGTAGTTTTTTCTCTATATATTTTATTAATATATAGCTTATATTTGATATTTTTGAAACTATATTTTTTTTGATCTTTTTAAATATATCTTCTTATTTTTTTCTTTTATTTTTGGGAGGTTTTTTTTTAAATTGGTTTTGAAATAAGCTGCCAAACTATTTAAAACTGTATTTGGCTTTAATATTAAATCAACTTCTTCTTTTTCTTGTCTGTTTAGAACAATTTTTTTGTATAGTCTATTTAGCAAATTAACAATTATTTATCTTTGATTTATTTTAATCATCTTATATCTTCTGTTTATATTTTATTTTATCTATACTTATTCTTATTTTTCTCTTTTTTTTCTTTAATTATTCTTTACCAACCTTTAATGTTATCTATCCAGACTTTTAACTATTGTCTGTGTAGTTTTAATAATGTTACTTCTAATTTTTTTTCTATAATTCTGAGTTTGTTGTTTGTTTTAACTTTTTTTTTCTACTTTTTAGTTTTTTAATTTTTATTTTCTTAATTATTTGTTAAAATTCAATAATATGCTTATATTGCTTTGTATTTTTTTGACTTTATTTTTTATTTAATTTTGTATTGAATATTTTCTTCTTTGAAATTTGTTTATTTGCTGTTTTAATTATAGCTTCTTTTATTGCATTTCACATTCCATCTAACACATTTGTACTATATTTTATTCTAATTTTGTAACTTTCTTGCATAATTATTTTAGACTTCTTGTTTTGCTTCTTTGTATAGGTATATTGTTCTTGTTTGGTCTTTATGTTTAATTTCTACCTTATTGTAATTTGAAATTATATATCCTATCTATAATTTTATTATTATTATTTTATAATCACTATTTGTTAAATTTTTTGCTTCTTTTATATTAGCTTTTTGTAGACCTAATGCAAATGTTTTCAATAATCAAATATAATCTATTCTTATTATAGACTTTCATTTTAATCATATATATGCTTCTTTTATTGGATATAAGTTTTTGTATAAATTTATGAAATTCTGTCTTTTGAGTTAGCTAAATATTGGTAGTCTTTTATAACTTAATATTTATAAATGTTATTTGTTCAGTATATTATTTACTATATAGTTAAAATTATTTAGTATAACTATTTCTATATATCTTTTTCTGTTTATTACTATCTTTGTAATTTTTTACTGAATTTTTTTACTAATAAATTTGTTATTTAGTAGAATATATACTCTTAATATTACTAATTATAATTATTTAAAATATAATCTTATTTCTAATATATATTTACTGACTTTTTTAATTATTTCTATATGTTTTTTTTATTTTTCATCTATTAGTATTTTTATATTTGATCCTTTTTTTTTGTCTAATACTGTGCTAGTTTAGTAATCTTTATACTATATATTATAACTATACAATAAAAATTTTCTTTCTTTTTTTATAATATTTATTTTTGTTACTTACATTATTATAAATTCTTTTTCTTTTACCTATTTTATAAGATTTTTTAATTTCTATCTTCTAATTTTGAGTTTATTAATGTTGTAATATACTATTTTTATTTTCTTCTTTTCTTGTTTCTATTTGTCTTTCAAATGTTTATATCTTGTTTTTATATTTTTTGTCTTATTTTTATTTATTTTTATTTCTTTATTATAATTAGGAAATATTTTTATATTATTTTTTTCAAAGATTCTTTTTTCATTATACAAAAACTCTTTAATCTTTTGGTTTATGTTTATAAACTCAACTAAGATGCTTTTAAAAGTAGTAGATCAAACTCTTTTATATTATATCTCTTGTTTCTTTTAATTTTTCTAGTTTTTTCAAAATTTGACTTAAGATATTATTTGTATATAAAAATTCTTCTTATATTTTAACTATAGTTTCAACTATTATTCTTCTGCAAAGCCTTCTTTTTTCTTTTGATAAGTCTATATGTTTTGTTTTATTTTCTGCAATTTGATCTTACATGTTGCTTCTGCTTACTGTTGTTTGATTTTTTATTTTTCAAATTTTTTCTTTTTTATTCTTGTTTATATATAATTTGTTTTCTTGTTCTTTTCTTCTACTGCTATTCTCTTCTGTATATATATATACATATAATTAAAAAAAAGTAAAACAAATAATCATTATAATAAAATTATTTATAATATAAAATTTTATATATAATATTATTTTTTGTATTTTAATAAATAAATTTTTAATAAAATTTTACTATATATACTTTTTTTTTTATTTAACTCTAATTTTAACTAAACAAAAAAAACCAATTTATTTTAATTAATAAATTATAATTTGTAAAGATATATAATATATAGACATATTGCAATATGTAATATATATATACATTTTATCTTTATAATAATTCTATTTACTATATATATTTATATATGTTTACTAAAGATTAATATTAAACAAAATAACTATTAATAAAAAATTATAACTTACACAAATATGCAAATAATTAAGTAATACGTACGTAGGAAATTTCCTTAATTTAATTTTACATATGTATAAAAAACAAAAACTGTACAGTATTTAATAATAATTTAGTAAGCACATATATATTATATATAAGTAAAGCTACGTATACGTAAAAGTTTGTATCAAATTTTGCAGTTTGTTAGATTTTGTATAAAAATCTTTAATTATAGTAAACCTTTAAACAAATAATAATGTTCACATGTTTGAAGTGAATTGTATACTGTACGGATATATAAAAATATTTTACTTTTTACATATACATATCATATACATATGCATACTTATACAGTACATGATCTAGCGATTAAAAATCGAATGATACGTAAATACAATGCAGTATGTACGTACATATCCTATTATTTCAATTTGTCTCAGTAAGGCAATCTAATCATACTAAAATAACTCGATTCTAACCAACTGATCGTATGTTATGTATGTTATTTGTTTATCATCATTTTTTGAGCCATGAAAGTATGTACGTACATTGTAATTATCTAAGATTTTTTTAAAAAATCATTAATAATACAGTCATACAGTAATCACAGTAATCATAAGAATAATGATTAAAATAATAATATTACATATTAGTACTGGTATTAAAAATATTATGAATATTTATAAATCTGTTTGAATTATAATCATCATTGAAAATAAAACATTACATGTATACGAACAAATATTAACGTAATCCATGTTTGTAAATACCCAATACATCATTATAGCATACGTTACTAAGCATTCAACGATTCAACAATAAAAAAAATATTCGGGTTTATTAATACAGTATGTCATAGTTTAGTTTTAGTTAAATCATTAAATTTAGATATTATCACCTCATAATTATTTAACTTAGTCATTTGTACAAAATATTAGTTTATAAGATCGCAATAGTTATTCTTACTGCGAATCACTTCAGAAACATGAAAATAATTTTTTTGGAAAAAAAGGAATGAATACTTAAATGTATACAAATTTTGATAACTTTTTTTATTGCATTTGGAACGGATTTAACAATTAAATGCGGTAAGCAAAAAGGGTAAAAAAAAAAACTGTACAAAAAAAAAGAAAAGTAAACTTACACCATTCTTTTTAAAGAAAACTACAAATAAGCATATGCAAAAATATATATATATATATATAATAATAATAATAATGTAACAATTTTTAACAGATGATGAATGAAGAACGTTTGGCACGAGGAAATATGACAAACACAAATTTCCAGCTCACATAAATGTCCACAAAAATAGAGAACGAGAAAAATAAAATTTCACCCACTAATGGAATGAAAATGCAGAAAATATTATAAAATTTCAAAAATCTCGCATTTGAGGGTTATAAATTTAATATCTCATCAATCCGGAACCAGGTGGACCATTAACATGGTTAGTCATGTGAGGAGGTACTTGTACATTTGACATTGGCATTGTTCCAGTCGGAATGGCCGAGTTAGGAATTCCTCCCGGCACCATTCCCATTGGACCGATATTCATGCCATTCATGCCATTCATGCTTGGTGGCATTCCTTGAGAGGTAGGTGGTATCGAATCCAAACCCATAACACCATTAGCTTGCGCAATAGGACAATCTTTATGTGCAAGTAATAAAGTTTTTAAGTTGATAATCTCTTCACGTAAAGATTGCGCTTGGTTTTGTAAATTTTCGTTATCGTTAGTAAGATATTCTACTTTGGCCTGTAAATTGGCCAACCATTGCTTTTTACGCTGGCGACATTTGAGAGCAGCTATAAACAAATAAATTTTATGATGTAAAAAAATATAAAAAGAATTTAAATATAAAAAATTTAAAATCTATGTTAAAATAAAGAAATATTTATATTGATGTGGGTATATTTTAAAATTAATACCTTGACGATTTCTTTCTAAAAAGTTTCTTCGTTTTTCTTCATCGGTCATCTCATTTTTAACTTTTTGACCATTTTTCTTTGGAGGAGGTTGTTCTTTTACGAGAGACTCTTCAGCTTTTCGCCTTGAATTGCGAGAACCGAGTTTAATAGAACTAGAACCACCACCTAATTTATTAGATGGTGAATCTTCGTCCATAGAGTCGGAAAGGATTGAAGATTTACGTGAAGGTATGTTTGAATTTATAGAATGTCTTCCATTTGTAATAACGTTATTTGAACGTGAAGTAAAATCATCATTCTCAGCTTTTGTCATGATAGTATCTGGAATGATTGTATTTCTATTTATCATATCTTGTTGAGCACAAATCATATTTCTATTGTTAAGAGTAGAATTTGTAACTAGAACTGATTGATGATTTAAGGGATTTTGAACAATAACATTTGCAGAAGTTGAAGAACCATTAGGCATGTTTAAAATATTTGTAGTAGATAAAGTGGGTTGTATAACACCGGATTGTGAAGTTGGAACGTTAGAAACAGGAGGAGCAGATGTAGAAGGATTTGAGGAAATTGTTTTACGATCAGAATCGTTAAGTGGACGATTAAAAGAAGGGAAAGGATCAGTAGAAATGATAGGAGGATTAACAAAATTATTAGTGGTACTACCGAAAAGACCGGTAGAAGGATCAGGGAAAGAACCGAAAGCAAGGGGAGTAGTTCCAGTACGACCAGTTTGTGAAAGGTCATTAAATATATTCGTTTCTTGAGGACCGGTAAGCATAGAAGGAGATAAAGCGCCACTTCGCAAAGATTGTAAGCTCCAACCATATTGATTCTCATTTCCCGGCATACCAGGACTTGTAATCTGTGATACAGGAGGTAGACTTGGTTTTGGACTATTAGTACCTACTTCATTCGAAATAGGAGTAACGCCGGAGAAACTTTGTTCGAAAGGATTAGGTTCCAAATCAAGTTTTGAACATGAAGCCAAAAATCGCGTAGGAGTTTGTTCAACCGTAGGATGAGGATGATCTTTTTTTGAGTAATCGGATTGATTATTAGGTGAATGTGCGGATGTAGATTCATTATTATTTGGTGATCCAGGAGATTCAGTAGGGAACGAGGTAGAAACATCAGAATCTAATATTTGCATGAATAAATAAAAATATTTAACCATGTAAAGTATGTAAAATGTGTAAAGTAATGAAACGTATGTAAAGAATTTAACAAATAATAAAATTGTTAAAAGATAATGAAATTTAGAAAAGCTAATGAAGTTTCCAAACCTTACGATTTGGTATAACTCACCATCGCCGCCCGAGTCCGGGGAATACATTTTCACTCGATATTATTAAAAATGATGTTTCAGACTATGATATAAAATTATTACAATGTTGTTATTTATTACTACAGTTAGTTAGTTAATAATTACTAACATGAAAATGAATATGAATAAATAAGAATGATATAAAGTTTGTATATACCTTTTTTTTTTCTTTTTAAGGTTGAAAATAAAAAAAATTTAAAAGTGTATATATGATACGTATATATATGTATGGCCTAGGCGATAGGAGATCGTTGTTTTTCTATTCTTTTGAAAATCGAACCACCAAATGTCAGATAAGGTTATAAGATAAAATAGATCACCGAGGGTAACCTCAAGTAAAGCTGATTTGCGAAATGCACTTCATTTAAAAAAATTTTTTGTGGTAGTGAAATAACCACATACCGTTTGTATAAAGTTGAGACAGTAAATGTAAGCAAGATCGTTTCTAGCTAGTATACACCAAAAAAATATAGACACCAGATAAAATAAGGATATTAAGAGAGAAAGATTTAAAAATTTTTAAAAAATTAATATAGGAGGTTACGATAAAATTCAGAATACGCGGTGCGATTAAGAATAGTAAATGTTACCTATTAGAAAAAAAAAAAAAAAAAAAAATGGTGAACTTTAAAAACAGACTTAGGGTGAAAAAAAAAGGAAAAAAAATATAAAAGTTAAAAACCTTTGTTTGTAATAAAGTAACCGAGTTTTTCTTATAATCAGAAATTAGAAGTACTGGAAAGCGATATCGATATAAGTTGAACGTGTGAGAGCTTTTTCTCCTACATAAAAAAGGTCACTCATTATAAAAAAGAAATACAGGCTTTTTTTCAGCGGTACTGTATTGTATAAATAAATTTGGAGGGTGTACTATAAGAATCACTTAAGATAGTTATATATGTAGATAGTACCACTTTAGTTTAGTTATTTATACTTCTAGTTAGCAGTATTGACAGTATTGACGACTAAACCAATAAAGGGTTTTCCACCTTACTATATTTATTAAGCGGTTATTATAGTACACCCTTCAAATTTATTTATACAATATAGTACCGCTTAAAAGAGCCACATATCGGTACCCCGAATTGAAAAACTTAACAGCACATAGCGATAGCCAAAAAACTTCAAAATTACCATAAGTGAGAATGTGAAATATCGATATGGGTATTGAATCAACAAGAACAATATATAGTTACAATAAATTTAGTAATTTGGAATATCAGATATGACCACATTTATTTGCGCAGCGTTAGTATGTACAATATCGATATTACACAATACTGTAAATACAGAATAAATATGGTCGATACAGTAGATACAGTACAGCAGTAGCATTTATTATATATAAAATAAATCACAAATTGAAATATTTGAAATGTACCATGATGTATTTATATTTTGACCATGCGGAAAATATTGACCAGTGATATGATTTAATCTTTACGTCATAGGTTTATTAATTTGCCTCATTAGGACTTTTTTCCCGGCAATCAGTCTAGTCCATTAACTAGTTTCTCGTAAGATGAACGTTTGTTAAAGTTATTCTCTTTGCATCGTACAACATAATCTTGACGAACAAAATTTATTCATTAACCCTCTAGGCAATCGAACGATAGAATTTATGTTTTGAATTAAAAATATTTTGTGTACCGTAAACATGAATGCTGATTTGATTTCGATTTTTCGTCCTACTTATTACACATAAATTGGTTCGGTTTACTGTATTTTCTTTTGATCCGGGCATCTGCTAAATGCAATAAACATTACTTTGCGGCAATGTTGGCTGAAAAAACACTACATTTAATCTTTATGAATTCACAAATTTGTAGTCATGGGTTTGATAAATAAAACTCCCGTAGCGGTTGCATTATCGCTCTTTTCCCGCCAACTTTAGTTATTTCAGGTTTTTTGGCCGCACAGACTATATTTCCCTTAAAGTTGGGCCATTCTTATAATTCTGCCCAAAACGCCACCACTGTTTGATCACATGTGATAATCAAAATCTTTGTGAAATCCTTATTATTTTTTCCGTGAAAAAAAAAAATGCCATCGGCTACTGACTCGAAGAAGTCCATTATTGGACTTAGAATAGGCCAAAGTTATTCTAGTATTGCTATAATTAACAAGGTTGAAAATTCTTTCCTACTCAGGATATCCTTCAAATTTCGTAGGAGTATTATTTAATTCTTTTTTTTGTTAATAAAGGATGGTAGGGCGGATTGTATAGCTAACGAAGATGGTGAACGGCAAATACCAACACTGGTTGCATTTGCAGGTGAAGAAGAGGTAAAACTAAATGTTGAATTACCAAATGATCTGTTGTTGTTAAGTGCTTTTTTCTTTTTTTCTTTTTTTTTTTTGACCTTAGCATTTCGAATTTCGAAATATAGCTTGCAGGAACTCAGGCAAAAACTCAATTGCTAAGTAATTCTAAAAATACTGTTTCGCAATTCCGTAATTTTATCGGAAAAAGGTGTAGTATAAGATCTCCAGGTTTAAATTGATCTTTAAGTAAATCTAATAAATAGATCTAAGTTATTAATCTTTGCAATAGCTTTGTAGAATGTAATTCTTCCATAATAAAAGGAACTGCTAAATTAGTTGACAAGGATGGCGTACCAGCATATTCTGTAGAATTTAAGAATAAAGAATTAATCTTCACTGTTCAAGAAATTACTGTAAAATATATCACAAGTCTTCGTGAAAGTGCCGAAAATTTTCTGGGTCACCCTGTCGCTGGCACTGTTCTTGCCATTCCTACTTACTTTACTGAATCTCAGCGTTTGGCCTTGAAAGATGCTACTGAAAAAGCTGGATTACGTGTTTTACAATTGATCAATGAACCTACAGCCGCTGCATTGGCCTATGAATCGGACCAGAAGTCTGTAGAATCTAATAGTGTTCTACAGAATGATAAAATTGTTTTAATACTTGATTTGGGTTCTGATAGTCTTGATGTTACGATAATGTCTATTCGCTCAGGCATGTTTACTATACTGGGCACCACCCATGATCCTGATGTCGGTGGTGCTTCTTTTGATGACCTTCTTGTGAATCATTTTACGAACGAATTCAAACGTAAAACGCAGATTGACATTTCATTGAATAAACGTGCCTTGGTCAAATTGAGAAATGCTGTCGAAATTACAAAAAAGACTTTATCTAGTAGTTCAACTTCTCCATGTTCGGTAGAGTCATTGGCTGATGGCATAGATTTCCATGGATCAATCAATAGAACTAGATTTGAGATCATGTCAAACAAACTTTTTACGAGGATCTTAGATGTTATTTCTATTGCTTTAAAGGAAAATAATTTGGATTCTCAATTAATTGATGAGGTAATAGTTTATCACAAATACAGTCTGACCTCTCTATAGTCACCTCCTTTATAGTCACATTTATTTATAATCACAAAAATTTAAACCCAACTTATATAATATTTATAAAATCTGACCTCTATATACCAGAATTTTAAAACCAATGGTGTGATTATAGAGAGGTTTGACTGTATTCTTTTCTATATAGTTTTTTAAAATGTTTGTTATTGACTTTATTTGATTTATTATTGACATTTGTTATTATTAATATTGTTTGACATTATTCATTCAGGTTATCTTAGTGGGTGGTGCTTCTCGAATTCCAAAACTCCAATCAAAGCTTCAGGATACATTTAAGAATACAGCTGCTGTTATTCGTCAAGATTTTGAACCTGATGAAGTTGTGGCCTATGGATGTGCATTTCAAGGCGATTTAATTAGTGCTCTAGATGATCAAATGATTGCTGATAGCATTGACCCCTCGATCACCCTTGTTCCTCATCTATTGAAACCTATAGGTGTACTTACTTCCGAAAAAGAATTTGTGGTCATGATACCAGAAAATACTCCCCTTCCTACTCGTCGGATTTTTCATTTCTCAAATATGATTGATGATCAAAAAAATATTTATATTGCAATATGGGAAGGTGCTCACAATATAGCTTCTAAGCCTTTACTACAAACTACTAATAATTTGGATAATGATTCAAATATAAATGTTTCTTTACAAGAAAAACCTCTTCCCTCCCCAGTAACATTGTTAGCAGAATTGGTGTTAACCGATTTACCTGAGAAAAAAATGAATGAGCTCAAGGTTGAAATTACAATAGAAGTAGATATTAATCAAAAATGTATCATTTTAGCAAAAGAACTGTTATCGAATAAGTTGGTAGAACTAGAAATTCAAATTACACAGTAATATAGTGAAATGTAAAAGATGTACGAATAAAATGCACAAGCAACTGACACATGACGTGTTAAAAGGTAATTATTATGAATTTTACGGTCTAAACAAAACTTTCACTTCTATTAATGAATTTTTATTTTTCATTTTTATATGTGCTTAAAATGTATTCCATCGTGTATGTATTTTCATCACACCTGAATTAAATATAAATATTAATGTAGAAATGTGTTATAATGAAAACAGTATAAATAAATAAATAAAGACTTTTCCTTACAATTTTGCTATATCATCTTGTACTTTGCTGATTGCCTTTTGTAACAAGCGGAGTATAGTAGAAAACTCGTTTGAACGCTGCCTCAAATATTTACCATGAGTAGTTAATAATTTAATAACCCATAACAAATGAAATTCAAGATGTGGTGATTCTTCTATGTTAATAGCAATAAATTTAAAAAATTTGTCAATGTATTTTTCAGGTAAATCTTTAATAACTAATTCTATATCATCAGGCGGAATAGTTTCGTAAACTTGACGTATTATATAACGTTCGTTAAGCCTAAAAGACATAACAAGGGCTTTTAAATAATCTTTGGAGTTCAATGTTTTCAGAATTGAGCTCGGAGTAATATCCATCTCCAGATCAAAAGGGTCAAAAAGCAATATTTCATCTAACGAATAAATAAGTAAACCTTCAGTTGATGCAGCAGACCAAGATCTGCCTGTTGGTGAAAATTTTACACATTTTGCACGAATTTCTGGTCGAATCTTTCGTATGGAAAGGTCACCTTTTTGAGTTCCAGGTAAACTAGTATCAAGTCTATCTTCCAGATCGCTAAGATCTCCGGATTGATCTATTAAATCAAGAGGCCCCGCTTCAGTCATATGCTTGCTGTTCAAAAATTCTCGTATTCCATCCAATGATAAATTATGTGATATCTGATATTTTTTCAGTAATAATTTTTCTTTAACATCGTAAAGGCAAATGTATTTACTATTTCCACCAGCAATCACACATGACCCATCAGCCGTGTAACATATACTATTAAAAGATTTTCCAGAAGAAGAGTTAGCAGCTGTTGTTCGATCATTGGCTTTTCTTCCACCTGATATATCTTTTCTTCCTTCTATAGTTCCTATCTGATCACAATTTTCAACATTCCAAAAGCTAATTTGTCCATCCAAAGTAGATGCAGCTAATTGTTTTCCATCGGGTCGAAACACTACAGCTAAAACATCTGATGTGTGTCGAAATACATCGACATGTTTACTGCGTTCAAATACATCCCAAATACGAACCGTAGAATCCCATGAACTTGATGCCAATAATAAACCTGTAGGACTAAAAGCCAATCCACTAATAGGACCTTCATGCCCTGCCATAATATCTAATAATTTACCGGTTTGTACTGACCATACAAAAACTTCAAAAGTATCCATTGAACCGGCACAAACAATTTCACCACTTGGACCAACAGCTAATGCAGTAAATTGAACTGGTGTTGGCGACGTAAATGTTCTAAAATTTCTATAACGAATTAAGTCAAAGGCGCGAACTGTTCCATCCAAAGAGGCAGAAAATAAAACATGACCGTTTTTTGCAAATTCTACCACACTAACACCGGAAGTATGCTCGGAAAATGTAACAAAACAAAATCCTGACATGGTATTCCACACTTTGACTTTACCATCATCACCTCCGGTTGCAATATTTTGACCATCCGAAGAATATGATAACGTATTCATATCATAATAATGCCCTTGTTGTTTAAGAACGTATGATTCAGATTGCCACTCCCAAATCAAAAGTTGGCCCAGTTTTGAAGACCCAAACGCCAGCCATTCACCAGTTGAATTGATTGCTACTGAATCTATTGCTTTTTGTGAAATACTTAAGTTTCAATCATAAAATATCAATAGATTAATTGGTATATACAAATAACAATAAAGGAGAATGGATTATACTGACTATTTTACCTTAATGTATGTATATTATTAAATTCGGGCATTTCCCAAATTCCAAAAATTCCAGATGAAAACCCGACTACTAATAAGTTTGATTCTATATGATAAGCAGAACAAATCACCTTAGCCCCAGATTGATTGAAATAATGACGGGATGAGATAGTCCATTTTTTAGATTGCGTTAATTCCGGTCTTGCATTATCAATATCCATTTCTTCATATTGTTCATCTTCTTCGGTTAGAGTTTGAGAGGCGAATTTCCAAATAAAGAGTGCACCATCTTTACTAACGGTGTATATCTACGTACAGAAACTTAATAAGCAAAATTCGGTAATATATAAATTAAGTTCATATTTATTTTACCTACCATACTTTGATCTTTCGAAAAATATGCACCGACAACATAGTTTCTATGACCTGAAAATGTTACAGTTGTGAAATTTTCAATAGGGAATAAAGAATGAAGTTTTGCAGTCATGTCTTTTGAAGTAGAAAGAAAAAATCTTATAAAATTTTATAACGATTGATTAGCATATTGACAAATTCATGCAAATTCTAAGTTATACTATCAAAACTATTACCGAGAATCGGTAGACCATGTTATTGACGTGACCTCATCATAATGTCCTGTGTACTTGTGATGCATGACAAATGGTGCAAATTCCCGACTTAATCCTGGTGATTTCCATACTTGAATGTTTTTTCCTATAGCGACACCAAAAAATCTTTGAACGTAGTATATCACATTTTGTTTAATATGATTAATGATTACGAATTTCTATAATCAGGCCAAACTATACTTGCTTTCCATTTGGGCTAAATTGTACATCTGCAACAGGTAATTTGAAATTGAATTCGTGTAAAACTATTCTGCGTTGAAAGTTGACTAAAAGAACCCTTCCATCTGAAAAAAAAACAGTTTGTGAATTGTAACTGTCATTTACATTAATGTCAAAATAGAACACACCTTCATCTATAGAGAGCAAAATGTTGGAATTTGGTGAGAGCGCAATTCGAGAAATATTTTTTCGATTTTCGAATGGAAAGGTAATTGACTTGTTACTACAATTAATATTAAAAATATGCAATAACGTTAATACAAGTAATGAGTTTGAAAAAAACTTTGCCTTGTTAAAAAGCTTATAAGAAACTACATACACTTAAGCTTATAGAATTTAAAACATGCTTACTTTACAAGATCAAATAATGACAAGCGATTTCCCACAGGGCTAAGCAACGAATTGCCATCGGAAGTAAAACACAAATTTCCTCGAGTGTATACCGTTCCACACAAATTTGAGAACTGTAATTATATGGATTATAATGAATTATGTATGTTAGAAGAGATTTTTAAATAAACGAAAGACACACCTTAAAATTGGTTTTCATCTTATTCGAGAGAAACTAATGAATAATTGATAAAAAAATATTTTATCAACCAATCAGTTACGGAGATCTCTTCGTTTATGGCGCGGATCATCAGGTGCGCCAACAAAATTTCACTATCACGTGACGATCGAAAAATTCTTTAAAGTTCATTTAGGTTAGGGTTAGCGT